TTGATTTTTTCAAATTTCAATTCCATTATTTATTTGATATTGTTCAGTCCTCAATAATACATCAAAATATTTGAAATCGGAATTAAAAACGAAAATGGAATTGAATGAAAATTGATACAATCACGTACGTCTCCACTCATTTCCGGAATTACTACAAAGAAAATTCTGATATTTTACATTATAAATTTATGAGCGAAAACTTACTTTCTTTCAAGAATAGCTGTTGGATAGCAATAATAGAGTTTGAAGCTCTAAGTAAACACAATTCTCATTCCCAAATGGTCCGAAAAACAACGAAAAAAGAATTGATTTTTTTCGGAAGCTAATCGTTTCATTATAAAACGTGAATTTTTGTAACCCGATTTTCTGAGGTCACGGTACATATTATTGCAAACGACTATCATTTTATAACTCGAATTTGGTAACAAATCTACAATTGCTCAAGGCAAAAATGCAACTCTAAAATAAAAACCTGGTGCATTTGAGTCATACTTTCACTATTGTACAAAGTTTGACATAATTTACGGTTAAAAAATTCTAAACTTTTCACATTCGAAACAAGGATTTTTTCTTCGAAACAAATTCAATCAACTGTGAATGAAATAATTCGTATTGTAACTGTCGTAACCGCAAGATATTGCATGACACTGCAAAACGTTGGGTTTCAATGATAAATTAGTTGACCCTTTTCCAACAACTCTACCCTACACAGATTTGCTAGTAAAGCGAAAGACCGGCCGCCATTAGCAAACCGTATTTTGGTTTATCTTCATTAAAACACCATGCAGATTTGGCTCGGGATCTATCCATCTTCTATTTAGTACAGTTCTAGAGGAGGAAATGAGCATGTTATGCCGATGTTGTTGAAACAATTAAATGGTTCAAAATGCTTCAATTTTACTTCGTTCTATAATTAAAATTCGAGAATGTATATTGAAACATTTTCGGGTTACTGTGAAAGCCAATAAAATTTGAAAGTCAAAGTATTTTATTGTTCAACATATACTATTCTCAATTGGATATATTCATTATAACGAATCTGCAACGCCTCTAGACCTTCAAAAAGTTATTTTGCTCTGCAAAATAGGCCTCCTCAACTTTTATCATATCTTTGTTGCAAGAAAATGTGATCTTCCATACTTTTGTGAGTCGAGGAGCGACATATAGTTAGTTAGATATAGATAGTTGGACAGAGCCAGATCTGGTGAAGAAGAGGGGAGTTTGAACCCTAAACATGAATTGTTTGCATTTTTGCGTTTTCTTTCTAAATTTTTTTCTCGTAGAGCGGTCAGGTAGAGCTCTACATCGATCATGATCACTCCTTGGCAAGAGTTTCTCCATCACACCTCAGAGTGTTTCCATTTTGGATCCATTTTCATCCTCAATAAAAACATTTATGGGTCCCTTTTGCAGATTTTTTTCATATATTGAAATGCTCATGAACTATATAATTGACGAGTGAAACTGGCAGACACGGGAACTGGTTTTTTCTACCGGTTTTCAACTGCAATGGAAAAACTACCACTTTTGCAGTTCGCAATTAAATTTTTCACAGTCACAACTTCGGTTGGCATTTTTTTTCCAAACTTCAATTTGTAACTCTGGTTAGACATTTTTCCTGAAATTATACAATGATACTTCAAGGGTAGGCTTTAACTAGATATCGATATATCTCCATAAATGAAAAGGATACAGAGAAAATATAATTTAGAATAAGTTTAGTCGTCATGAAAATAAGTGGTCTCTGATGAACACTCACTAATTTTCCATAAACATTTTCACGAGTCCGAATTCAGAAAATAATAAATGACAAATATTACATTATTATCTATACATACTAATTATTTTTTCCAACCGTATGCTATCATTAAATTCTATTTTCAGCAACTGCTCACTGATTTCATATTTATGACATTTCATAACTGGAGGTGATTTAAATATATGATTTGGCTATAAAACTGACTATCTATCTAACATTCATGAGGTGAATAGTTTCAAATTGGCACTTAATTCAAATGACCGTGTGTTATAAAGTTATAATATATAAAGGTATCCAATTAAAATAGTCAGGGTTTATTAGAACACTTATTATTCTTTTTATTTCATGAGTTACTCCGTGATGCATTTTAATTAACCTTAAGACCGGGAGGTCTTAGCGGTAAAAGAAAATAGAGAAATGTTATGAAATGAAGTGTTATGAAATGGGACGTTATGAAATGAAATATGTGGTCTTCTTTTTCGTAATTGGTGTAGAAAGGAACGAAATTTTTATGAACTTTTCAGTTTGGAAAGTATACTTTATGTCTTTTGTTATCTTCAAGAGTTACCAGGTATTTTGTAAAAACATGGGAAATAGAAATTTGCAATCATAATTTCTGGATCTTATCAATCATTTGAAATGTAGAATAGACTGGTGGTGGTCATTTCATAAACTGAACTGACTTTTATGAAAACATCTAGCTTGCACAGTTCTTCTTGTAATCGCTCCTCGGCATTCATATTTTTATGGTAGATTCTACATTACAGTAGAATACTCATATTGAAAAAGGAGAGAAAAGCGAAAAAAGACAGTATTGTATCTTTCAAGTTTCCAAAAACAACCTCCTCATCAGCATCATTTTAGAAAACGTAACACACATTTTTTCCATAACATTACAACATAATTTTGTAGTTAATTTTCATATTTTCTTTTCAATATTGGAAAATTAGAAAGCCAAAAAGCTTTTTTCACAAAAACTTATCTCTTCTAATCAATATTTCCCTTTTAATTTGGACTTGTTTATTGTTTGTCTAAAAATGGTAAATCTCTAACTTCTCCAGAAAATGTAGATATTTCAGTATCTGCAAACTTGATTACTACTTGATTTCTACCTCGATCAGCAGAATAAAGTTGCAAATGCCATGTCGAAAATAAATTATTATGATATGAATCACTTTAATGTGAATACTATTCTCACTAGAACCACCCCGTACATGTAGAACCTTGTATGTAGGTTGCAAGTACTTAAAATTTTAAAAAAATCGGATAAATATCGGCCTCATTTCAGATGCAGCTTCCGTTATTATGACCCGTATTTCTACTATCCACAAAACGTGTTGTGGTAGCCGCGTTATTATTTCTTTAGTAACAAATATTTTATTTCCACTTAAATTCGATGGTTGCAATACAAAATGAATACTCACCGTTACAATTCTAGCCACAACTATTCCATTTATGGTGCTATTTTATGTCTATCACATTGGTTTTGTGAATAATTACGCTGACTTCGTTATGTTTGTTATTTGATTTCACCGAACCAATGAACATCTCATAAGTTAGTTTTTTATATGGTTCAAAAGAGAAATTGAAAAGATTCAATATCGTTAGGTAGCGTGTGTAATTGCTTAAATATTGCTTTTAATTAGCTTATAGAGTTTGGAAAAAGGCATACTCAGAACAGAAGCTTAATGACCGAAGGGGGTGGATGATTTTGCACTTGAAATTTTTTTACTGTATCGAGAGAGAAATATCATCTCAGTTATAAATTTGTTTGCCTGGTTAAAAAATGGGTAAGAGTGTTTTTTTCAATTCGATTGATTATATACTGCTTTATAATAAATCATTCGTTTGAACTAGTATTCAAAGAATAGTTGAACATTTTTTGAATACGATAATAATTTTCTACTGAAACCTTATTTTTCACATGGGTATTCTAGTTAATCTGGTACTGATACTTTTTTCTGAATTTTTCCCTCAGATCATCGTTCAGTATCGAGTTTTTTTGAGCGATAACATTTTATTTACAATACGATAGTAGATTGGCACATCTCCCCTATAATTCCGCTAATAAATATATAGTTTTAACCAATTTTTTCTAAGCCGTTTCGACTCAAATACTCGCTACACTCCATTTGTCAGAATCTTTCTGATGCAGCTTCTTGAAATAATATTTCGATTGATATTTTCAACCAGAAACGTTTCAATAGCTATTGATCAGAATGAAATTCATTTAGGCACTCTTGGTATTGTCTCATAGACAAAATAATAATCAAAATTATTCGAACATTATATCGAGGAGAGATACATACGTATTAAAAAAATATTTTTTTTAATGAAACTCAGAAATCTCGTCTCTTCCAACGTTCCTAGTAAATGATCGCCGAAAACAACTACTTTCCTGACGAATACTAAGAAAGAGATTGTATTATATCTAACAGACATATGTTAAATTTTTCTCAGAAAAGAAAATCACAGGAAATTCGAAAGAAGTGTTTGTGAAAATACTTTCAAAAATATCTCTCGGATATATTTAAATTTTTTGAATATATTATATTATGAATATATAATATTATGATATTTAGTCAAGAAAGTAGTTTTCCGGCAGGAGTTTGTCAGATCCTTGTGTGAATAATTTCTATGAAATTCAATAAGTTCTCACATGAATGTCGTTTGTACATCGTTTGCCTCCATTGTATTTCCCGAAATTTTCATTTTTACTTGTTGCAATCTATCTTGATAATCTATTGAATACGAAAATCTACCAAAATTACCCACATCTCAAACTTGATATATAGAAATGAGACTCTACATACCAACATCTTCCTTTAAACAGATGAATACTGAAGTAATTTGACGACTGATTATCTATATGTTATTGGTTAAAAAAGTGGCTTTTCCATATATTCCATACATTTCTCATCAAAACTAATTAATCCTTTGCTGAGCGTCCCAAACATACGCTGTAAGTAAAAACAATGTGTAAGCTCTGACTCATTCTATTCGAGTACACTTTACTAATTACCAAGCAATTATACGTACGAACATTGTTCAAAACCTCCACTACAAAAAATCTAACAATTACCTCCGGCTATAAAGTCAGATATTTGCCGAACCCTGTACATAACTCAAACTAGCATATCACAGGCTATGATTTGCACTTGCATACATCGAAACTGGTATTGCACGTTGTTATGCAATTTGGATTTATGGCAATATTTCAATTGTTTATGTTTGTTCACAGGTCATGGAGGCGTTAACCAACTGGGTGGAGTCTTTGTGAACGGGAGGCCTTTGCCGGACGTGGTGAGGCAAAGGATAGTGGAATTAGCTCATAACGGAGTACGGCCCTGTGATATCTCGAGGCAGCTCAGGGTATCGCACGGTTGTGTTTCCAAAATTCTGTCGAGGTTAGTTTTTAAAAATATTCTTGTATTGATATGCCAAATTGACATTTTAAACCAATGAAAACAGCAGGGAGTTGAGTGAATTATGTTAGATCATTTGCAAACAAAGGCGCAGGGGAGTATTCTGTACCTGTTGTTTCAATGTGTACATGTAATTCTGGATTTCAAATGACGCTCACAAGTGGAAACATTACAAACTGTAAATTCAATACCAATTTTTTGCACGAAAATCAATATTAACTAGTGAAAATTTCATGAGATATATTTTGAATACCGTTAAACATCAATACCAAAAAAAATATTTTAGGTACTGGTATGCATAAATGTACTGTGTTTGCAATCTATAGCGGTATGTCCCAGAAAATACTTAACGTATATTCGTCCGACCTTCTGATAGTAGTAGTGCTATAGATACTAAACAAGCACATATCTTAAAATAGCTATTCGACAATAAATCAAACATAGTATAGTACAATTATTGATGGTCTGCACAAGCTTCAATGTAGTTATTGCCATAAATTATTAGGAAACAAAAATTCATACTATTACTCTTATAAATAATAAGTGAAAATCGCTCTTTGTATGTTTATTGAAAATTAAATAATTCTTTTACCAAAAATGTTGGGTTGACTGGCATATTTCTCCAAAACTCTCCACACCGTGAAGTACATGATTATTGGGTCCGAGAAGATTTCATAACATCAAACCAAGCACTACAATGATCTGATAAACCAATATAACAGAATGGTCTGGGTAGAGTCTGAGGGATTTGAAGTGAAAATCTTTATATTCAATCTAATTCTCCTGCTTTTCTTTACCAATATCTATGTCGACGGATGTAGCCTAACACCGCATATGCTGGACATTTCGACAGCATAAGGCTCTAAGGAGCTATGCGACAGGCCCTATACCTGCATCAAGAACATCTACACTCTTCATGCATTGAGATATTGAAGCAACCTAAGATCGTGATGAACTCTTCAAGTTCCGATCTCAAATTCCCCGTCTTGAGAGAAGCGAAGGTAAATAACTTTGATAAATCGAGGTTTCGATGTTGTTTAAGAAAACCCCATTCAATGGCTCATCCTTGTCCAGCCGCAGAAATAAGGTGAACTATATGGTTCTGATTTGGACTTTTTGCTGAACGGGTTCCAACCCGGTGGTAGAGTTGTAACCACTTCGTTCAGTGCCAAAAACTAAATCAAATTCATCTGATGCTCGGGTGGCTGTCTCCAAAAGAAATGCTACAATTCATGATCCGTCAGGGTCGTGGACCTTAGAGAGAAGAAGATCCGGATTTTTGACGGTTTCTCAGACTTCATTCAGTTCTACTCTATCAGGTTGCCCTCCAAACGCAAAGTCCACGGATCCCTGAAACAGTTCGTGGCACATTCGATACTTCCAGTAAATGAAGCTCCTCCCACTCCACTATACTACTTCTATGGAGAAAAAAAATCGAAATGGTTAGCGTGTTTGAAGCAGCAATATTTTTCAATTCATTCTGATGACTATATGTGTCTAAAGAAGAGTTCTTACTGATAGTATTTCTCTTGTGAGTGTGGAATACTATGTATTACGTTTAGGTGTCTTCGAACGAAATCATGCCTTTGCACAACATATTACTTCGAGCACTTTTTGAAAAAAAAATTCAGTATCTGAATATTACTCATATGTTAATCCAAGATTGGTTTCTGAATTTCCTAATATATATTGGTATCAACGTTTTGAAATGACCAATATTTCACAACTTCAAATGGAACTACAGGTGAGCTAGCAACCCATATAGTGCATATACCTGAACTGATAATAATTTATATTTTATGAGTTGTCGGATACAAATTCTGATACACAGAAGACGAATCGATCATCCTTTGGATTTACTATTTGTCATGTCACTTCATTAATTAAATAAAGAATGTTCCATTACCATAATAACTGAATGGAAAATAGTATCTACTGAAGTGGAATATACTACTGCAGAGAAGGTCAACAGAATAATCATAGTAGACTAAACTATTCTTTGAGTTCAACTTGGTGTGTAGTTAACTCCCTCGTATTCGTAGCATATTTCAAAATACTGAAAATAACAGTTTTCTATATACCTTTGCACTATTTTTTATCGATGAATTGAAAATACTGGCATCTTTGTTTTCATTGAATTCCATTCCAGTAAGATTGTATAGTGTAAAATGTGTTAATAATATCGTCACTCTCTGAAATTGATTACCCTATAATGTATGAAAAAAACAATAACAAATAATATTCAAAATCACTTCCATAACATCGTTAAAAATGTTTATCAATCCGACTGAATCTTGAAAATTCAGTACTGTTATAGGCAAGCAGTTGTTTCAGATTCTTGATTAAACCTTTTTGTTGGTTTGCACTCAAAATATCTATAAATGATAAACTTCGTTTTATTTTTGTATATATTCTACAAATTTCGCTTAGAATTTTCTCTCATAAATATAACATTTCTATTAAATAAATAGCAACTCAAATAATGTTATACGGAAATATGATCAACTCATTCTCATCAACCACACTAGTAGCGTTGTTGGCTTGATGCAATATCCTTGTAGTTTTTAACGACACGTGTCAGCTCAATTCATTTTCCTATTGAATTATTGAAGTATTACGAAATTGTTGAATTCATTAAAGCCATTCACTGAAGTGCTTCTTGTTATTTGGTCAACACGGTTTTCTGTGTAAACTCAAACGTGTAACTGGTCGATCAATTTTCATATTGCATTTAATATTTGATAATACAAAATTATGGAGAAATCATGAATAATATAGAGAGTCTGAGCAAATTGTACTTACTCATTGTTTAAACAAGAATTTCATGCTCAAAATTTCAAGAGTTGAATTAGTAAATATAAACAATGATATAGTTATCATTACTGTTCGCCAAAATGATAACAAAAATTAATTCCAATTTGATCCTTCTTCAAATTGATATTTAAGTTGATATACGAATAAGAAAAGGGTATTCAGCGATATATTTCAATACAGCCACATTACCGGTTTCTATTGAAAATATCGAAGGCAGCCAAATGCAAAGATAGGCAACACTTGGTTACCAAAAATGGTAACATGATTGTAGTTATCTTCAATGACAGTTGAGGTACGACGGTAAAACAAACTTTTTAGGAAAATCAGTAAACGAGAAACGTATATACTTTTATATCGGTAGCCAAGCGGTTCGACGCGGGTGCTTTGTTCACTCACTCGAATTGACTGCCGTGTTGGTCGGTGGTTCAAGCCCTAGTCTGAATGATCGATTTTCAAATCTAAAGAAATGAACTTTACACGTTCAAGTCAGTCTCGAATATACCTACACAGTAGGTTGAATGGACTGACGCCTATCAGAAAACAACTTCTCCCCTGGCTAATACCACGAAAGGCGTTGGATTATATCCGACAGGCGTCAGTGCAGAAATCTTCACAGAACATTTCTTGCATATGATATTGGCAATACAACTGAAAGAGTCGACCTTCAATTTTGAAACGGATACACTTGCAGACCGGTTTCGGGCTCATTAGCCACTCATCAGCGCAAGATAGTGGCCATCATCGACCTAAAGTCGATGATATTCCATAATTGAAAATCGGAATTGTGTCAGAGTATTTCATTCCTCTTTTTAAGTTGGAGCAAACAATAAAATGTCACTCCATCTAGTAGACGAGGTACTAACCAACTGCATATCCGTAGTTTGCTCGATTCCTCTGAAGAAGAAAGAAAAACTTTCCTATTAGTCAGTTGGCTATGCTTGACGACTGGCAGTAAACAAATCTAAAGAAATGAACTTTGAACGTTCAAGCCAGTCTCGAATATACCTGCACAGTAGGTTGAATAGACTGACACATATCAGAAAACAACTACTCCCCTGGCTAATACCACGACGGGCGTTGGATTATATCCGACAGATTAAAGTTCGTTCCTTTAGATTTGTTTACTGCCAGTCTTCAAGCATAGCCCGCTGACTAAAAAGAAAGATCGATTATCACTTGCTATCTTCCAACCCGTGTTAGGAATCACACGTTAATAGGTAAGACTTCGGTGATCCTTAGCTCCCACAAGTTTAGACTTCTGAGGGTTGTTGTTCGTAGGGGTGCGACAGCTGGTTAACGTAAAAACAAATTTTAAACAGATTTTTCAAACAGATCTCTATATTTCGATAATTTTCAATAAGTCCTATGCTTAGTATATAATAATAGATATGAGTCTAGATGTAACTTACAGTGTCGATGAGATTGATCGCTGAGATGTTGATTAACGCAAGAGAAAATCGAGTAAAGTTTAGAAATTTAATAGGATGATCAGAGTGTAAAATCACACATGTTATAAAAAACAAGTTATGAAACGTGCAGAGATAAATCAGTAGGTACCTATTATTTCAATATTTTCAAATTATCACTTTGAATACTAATATTTATTTTAATGTCCAATAGTCAGCATGAAAGAAACATATAACAGGGATGGATCACAAAACGCAAGAAATCAGATTCAATTTTTGAGAAAAGGAAATTGCATGTCATTAGATATCAAACATCTGACATTATGAAACAGAGAGGACTAATTTCCCCAAGTTTTATACAACAGTAAATTTTTAACATTTTTAAAATTTTTTCGAGTCGACGTTTTACCATCTCATCTCTCCCAGTTCTATTTGAACTTACCCTCCCAACTAGTGCACTCCTGATTCACTCCAGCTTTCTCGTCGTCGGCATGATTTCATTTCGCTTTGCAGGAACCGACTTATTCACCCCTATTCCCCGGTTCCCGATTCCGGCGGCAGCTAACGCGATCATGCGACCTGCTGGTAATGTTTTCCCGTTTTTTAGTGCTCGTTTCCCAAAAAGACGAACTCCATTTCATCCGACCGAGGACCACATGGGGACGAGGCATTTGTCATTCGGAGATGATGCAACCACCGCCGTCGCCACAATAACCAACGTATGTCCACTATTGTTTGAAATATTTTATCGCGGCGTGGGAG